CGAACCAGACTTCGAGAATTTTCTCTTCTCGTTGGACCTTGAAGATCCTTCAAACTTTCTCTTTTCTGATGCCTTATCTTTTTCTAGACCCTTTTTCTCTTATCTGGGTCTCTAAATTCTTAGCTGCTCTAACGGCTGTCTTCAAAGTAGCTATTTTGACCGTTGGGCCAAATTCTGTAGGCAGTCCTTTAGCAAACCTATCTATCTTGGAGACCTCAGTAGGCACCAAGTAGGGAAACAGCTTCATCCTCTCGGTGAATGCGGTGGCATACTCATCAACACTCATCTCCCCTTTCTTCAGGTTCTGAAACTCATTGTTTAGGTCTATCAGATCTATTTCTGAGCAGTATTGCACTTTCAACTGCTCCATGAATGCTTCCCAAGAGACATCCGCATGGCTTCTCCCCGTGTCATTGTATCTGCCAACAACTTCCACCAACTTAAAACTCTGGTATTTAGTTGTCTGACTGCAAAGACGGTCTTTCGCTTATTGCTGCAGTTGCAGCTTTCAAATACCATCTCCATCTCGGAGATCCAGTCCATAATTTCCACTGGCTTTGGACTTCCAAAAAGAATTGGTGGTTTGGCACCCAAGAAGTTCTTATACATGCGCCCATCCCTGTCAATCCCTCTGTTCGGGCCGTTCCTCCTGGCCACTCAACGTTCAACTTGACTCACAGTACGGGTGTAGTTTCCTTCCTCCGACAGCTCTTCATTCGGTTCGGGCTACACAATGGGTACCATAGGTTCATCTATATTAAGCAACATTTGTCTCATCTCCTCCCTTTGTTCGTCCATCATAGCCCGAATCATTTCTTGGACATAGGGGTGTAAGCGAGCCGAGCTACTCGTGAGCTACTCGAGATCGACTCGATAATAGCTCGACTCGAGCTCGAGTTAAACGAGCCTGAGCCGAGCTCGAGCTCACCTTGAAGGCTCATTTATTAAACGAGCCGAGCCCGAGCTTTTGTTTTCAAGCTCATATAGGCTCGCAAGCCTAATCGAGCCTAAGTATATTTTTAAAATTGTATTTTTATTTTATATATTAGTTTATACCTTATAATTTTAAAATATATTTTTGTTTTATATATCAAAATCATAATACTAGTTACGAGTTTATGATCTATATATATCTTAGAAGTCTAGTAATGGCTTTACGTTATTTTAGTTTCTTATAATTTAATATATATATATATATATATATATATATATATATATATATATATATATATATATATATATATATATATATATCAAAAAGTAAATAACTAAATATTGTTTTTCAATTTATCATTTATGTAAAATAAAAATCAAGTACGAGAGATCTTTACGACTTAAGACTTACGCTTTCAACTTTTCAATTTTCAATTTTTACTTTCATTTTAGGTTGCGTTTAGTTACGGAAAAACAATTTTCATTTTCTGTTTTTTGTTTTCCCTTTTCAGTTTTCGGTTTCCGTTTCCGGATTTAATTGGAAAATTTAGAAAATGCGTTTAGTTAAAACTTATTCATTTTTCATTTTCAGTTTTAGAAAATTAGAAAACGTGTTTAGATGTGTATTTTTCTATCGGTTTTCATTTTTAGAAAACGGTAGCGGTGGTAGGGTGGGCGTGGGGACGGTGGCGGTGGTGGAGGCAGCGGCGTGGGGCAGTGGTGGTGTTGATGATGGCGACGGTGGTGGTGGTGGTGGTGGTGGTGGCGGTGGCTGTGGGGTGGCGACGGTGGTGGTGATGATAGGCGATGGTGGTGGCGGCGACAATTATGGCGGCGGTAATTGTAGCAGTGGTGGTGATGGCGGCAGTGGTGCTGCTGGTGATGGGGTAGTGGTGGTGGTGGTGGTGATTGTGATGGTGATGGTGATAGTAGGTCTGTGATTGTGGTAGTGGTGTTGGGTGGGTGTGTGTGTATGTGTGGGTGTGAGGTGGGGTGGGTGAGGGTGTGAGGTGGGTGTGGGTGTGGGTGTGATTTTGTGGGTGTATGTGTGTGTGTGTGTGTTTGTGGGAGTTGTGTGTGTGTGTGTGTGTGTTCGTGGGGGTGTGGGTGGGGGTGGGGGTGGGTGTGGGTGTGTGTGTGTGTTTGTGGGGGTTGGTGTGTGTGTGTGTGCGTGTCTTTGTGGGTGTGTGTGTTTGTGGGGGTGTGTGTGTGTGTTTGTGGGGGTTGGTGTGTGTGTGTGTGTTTGTGGGGGTGGAGGTGGGATTGGGAGTGAGTGTAGGTAGGTAGGGGTGTGGTGGGTTGGATTGTTAAGGTGAGGGTAGGTAGAGGTGGATGGGATGGGAGTGGATGTTTATATTTTTGAAAAATTTTGCAATTAGAAAAATGTGGAAAACAATGATTATCGGTTTTTCAAAAATTTCCAATTTCTTTGTAATTTTGGAAAACGGAAAATTTTCATTTTCCGTGAAAAATTTAGAAAAATAGACGAACTAAACGCATTTTCAAAATTCTCATTTTTCTTGGAAAATTTTTCCGGAAAACGGCCCATTTTTCCGCAACTAAACGCACCCTTTAGGTTCCTGACTTCCCGCCTCCCGGTTCCATTTTTCAATATCATCTATTGAAGGTCGGTCCGTAGTCGTTATCGACAACGACGATCATCTCCGGACTACGCCACTCCAATATCCAATCTCCACTCTCGAGGTATGATTTTTCAATTAGTTGATTTCATGTTGTTTTATCATCTCGATTCCCAAATAGTAACTATACTATCTGATTAGTTCTATGTGTATATTATCTAGTATGTCTAGTCAAACGTCCAAAAATTTGTTGCAAAACAGTATCCATCCAAGTATGTTGTGTTTCTCTTATATACTCTTGACGGTATAATCTCTAGTTGATCAAAAAGTGACCAAATTAATGATTCCATTTAACAATTAAAACAAAGATTGCAGGTGACTTAATTTTGATTTCCATTTTACACAAATGTTGCCAAACTCCCATAACTTTTAAGTTGTGCATGTTTTTGCTTAATCAGTTTTATTTTTGACAGATTTTATGGATGATGGTGTGATTTCAAATCCATCAAGTCCAATGCAAGGGGTGGGTGAAACCCGTGCCCATATTGATGGTGAGGAGCAGACAACCACTCCAAATGTAAATACATCCACTCAAAATGCAAATGTGAGACAAGAACATCCAGAAACCGGTGAAGATGAAGTGCAGTTGAAGCGGAAGCGGCAGAAAACATCAGAAGTATGGAATGATTTTGTTGTGGTTACCCTCAAAGATGGTACACAAAAACTCGAATGTAAGCACTGTAAAACAAGATTATCTAAGGTTGGATCAGGTCCTACATCCACAATGGCTAGACACCTAAGAAGCTGCTTACCTCATAAAGAACACGAAAAAAACCAAATATTGTTAAATTTTCCGCCAAGTGACGCTAATGTAGATTCAGAATTTGGTAAGCCTCACATATTAATCGGTCCAAATGCAAAATATGATGCTAACAAGATGAAGGAAGCCATATCTAATTGGTTACAGTGTACTGATCAACCTTTTAAAACCGTGGAAGATGACATGTATGTGAAGATGATGAAGATTTCCAATCCATTGTTTGAGAAAGTATGCAGAGTTACAGCTACATCAGACTGTTTTAAGGTATATGAGCACGAGAAGAAGAATTTGAAAGCCCTTACAAAAGCTGCCTCGAAAATATGTTTAACAACTGATTGTTGGAAGTCCTCGCATCAAAAAATTGAGTATATGGTTATTACTGGACACTTCATTGATCAGAATTGGAGGTTTAACGACTTTATCAAATTTAATATTTACTTTTGCATTTTTAATCTCTCATTTTTTATTTTATATCTCAACCTTTTCTTACAGATTATAGAAACGCATATTAAGTTTTGTGCATGTTCCTCCTCCTCGTACTGGTTTTGATATTGCTGAATGTATTTACAAATGTTTGAAAGAGTGGGAAATTAAAGATAAAATATTCACCATCTCAGTAGACAATGCAGCTTGTAATGATAGAGCGGTAAAAAGATTGAAAGGAATTTTTTCGAGGGTAGGAAAACTTTCTTGTGGTGGTAAAATGCTTCATATAAGGTGTTGTGCACACATATTAAATCTTCTTGTGAAAGATGGTCTTACAAAAATTGAGTATGTTATCGAGGACGTTTGTGAGGGTATAAAGTATATTAATCATTCAGAGGGTAGACGTCAAACATTTTCAAATGTTGCGCATCAGCTACAAATACGTGATCAAAAATTATTTCTTGACGTGCCAACACGCTAGAATTCAACATATGATATGTTGTCTTCTGCCTTAAAGTTTAAGGATGCTTTTCCAGGGTATACATTACATGATTATAATTTTTAATATTTTCTTCTAAATAGTTGTCCATATTCACTAATACTTTGTTCTTTTTCAGATATGCAGAGTATGAACCTCATTTCAATCATTTGTCAAGCAAGGAAGATTGGGCAAATGTGGAAAGTGTATGTGACCTTTTGAAAGTTTTTAAGGTGTGTACGAACATCATCTCAGGCAGTGACTACCCGACTGCTAATTTATATCTTATTGAAGTGTTCAGAGTGAAGCAAACTTTGGATAAAGGTGTGTTGTCCGAGAATAATTTTATCCGTGATATGGTGAAAAAGATGAAGAAAATTTTTGATAAGTATTGGGGTGAGTGCCATCTTGTTATGGCGATAGCTTCTGTTTTAGATCCACGGTTCAAGATGAAGTTGGTTGAATATAGTTTTCCAACAATATATCAAAATCCCGATGAGAACATTACAGAAGTAAAGAATGCCTTTATGAAATGTATACGGAGTATGTAGAGATACATGATACGTTAGTTAGGGAAGCTGAAACCCATGGAAGTGAATATGGACGAAACATCGTTTCAGGATCAAATGAATGTACATCAGTTGGATCAGGATGGGAGGCATTTGGAGAGTTTATAAAGAATGTAGATTTAGAGAGACCAAAAAAGTCAGAATTGGATATGTATTTATAAGAAGGTGTTTATAGGGAGCAAGTGCAAGGGGGAATGCAATCATTTAATGCATTGGAGTGGTGGAATGTGCACAAATTAAAGTATCGTGTTTTGTCCATGATGGCTAGGGATGTACTTGCAATTCCAATTTCTACGGTTACATCTGAGGCAACTTTTAGTGCAAGGGGTAGAGTTATTGATCCCTATCGAGCTTCATTGGCACCAGATACAGTACAAATGTTGATTTGTGGAGGGGATTGGATTAGACATCTACATGGAGTCAAGAAAAAGTTGAAGGTGTATTTAAAAAACCTAAAACAAATAATAATTGCTATTTTATTATTATAAACTATTAATCGTTAGTTATCTCTTTTTTTTTTACAGAAGGAGGAATCTCCTACTGAGGTTTTACTCCCGGTTGCTACAACAAACTAATCGGCGGTATAATTTGACTTTCTTTACTATTAATCTGAACTTTTTTTTTTGTTGCAAAGATTTGGAATTTTCTGCATTTAACCTGGAATTTATGCTTCTTTACTAAGGGTAAGGGGATAAGATCGTATAAATTGTGGATTGTGGGACGTGATGCTTTTTGTATAAAGCTTGGGATTATTTTCTCTAAACATGTTTTCTTCTTTTTCAATAAAGTTTTGAAAATGCTAAGTTGAAATGAATTTTTTGCACTTTACAGATGTCTTAATGTGGAGTGAAGTTACATCAGTTGCATCAAGGAAGAATTGTGTTTTTGAAAGACTTGATCTTGTGCTTTAAGCCTTATTTTGCAGTATCTAGTCAGTTAGTAGTTATTAATTTGAAGTTTAAGTATTTGTTTTGTACTATGGAGTTATTTTACTTATTTTGTACTGTGTGCTTTGTTAAATCTATAAGTTTATTTAATATTTTTTTGCTAGAATGTATGATAAACGAGCTATTTAATGAGCTCAAGAAGCTTAAACGAGCTTGCTTGCACAAATTAAAAATCCGAGCTCGATCCGAGCTTAGGCTCGTCTGCCAAACGAGTCGATCCCGAGTTGAGCTCGATCCTGTTAAATCTTAACGAGCCGATCTCGATCTTTGAATATTAAGCTCGAAGCGAGCCGAGCTCGAGCTCAAGACTTGAAAATTTTAACCGAGCCGAGCTCGAGCTTGGTTAGGTCCGGGCTCGGCTCGGCTCGTTTACACCCCTACTTGGACTCCCGCCATCGTGATTGGTTCGGGTTCAGCTGCTACTTCTGGTGCACGTTCAATCATTCGTGGTTGTTGGTTTCCATTATCATTTCCTAATCCGCTTCGATTTCTAACCATGTCGATCTATACACCAAATCAGACGTTCAGTGTGTAGTGCGAGAATTTAGATAGGAAAGCTTTATTTACGATAGACGTATAAATCTTCTTATCTTTTTGGAAAGTTATATGCCAATTCTAATACCGTAATTAAATGTTTAGAAATCTGAACACATAAAGTTTCCAGATCCGGTCGGCAATAGACCATAGATCCGATCAAACGATAGCATCATAAGGCATCACAAATCATTTAGCATATAAAATCATTTTAGGCATCTTTCCTAAAATAAGCTAGTGCTCGTGTCTATTCAGGCATACATCCTAAATATAGCAGACACTCATCTCACAATCATCGCTTAGCATTCTAAGTTGAAGTCTATAAATTTCCTAAAATTCCTAGTTCGCTTAAACTAATGCTCTGATACCAATGGTGACATCTCCATTATTAACGGTCATTTTTGAAAATTTTATTTATGCTTATTTGAAAATCAGAGTATTCATTTTAAAGAATAATATTGCGGAATTTGTTCCCATAAAAACATGATAAATATATTATCAAAGCATTTCCGAAGAAATGTATTTTGTTTAAATAACAACTTTGGGATGTCATCGTCAATACAAAAACATAAAAATAAACAAACCTTACATTCATTTACACTAGTGATTTACATCTCCTTCAATCTCTCAGTGTAATTTAGCTTCATATCGACACCTGTGACACAAATAAACTGAGTGGGCCAGGTTGGGAAACCTGGTGAGTACATAGGGGTTTCAACCCACAATAATATAATTATTATATTTAATCATCAAACAATCAACCTAATTACCCATCCCCATTATCTTCTTTATTCTTAAGAATCAGTTATCCTTCATTCATTCATTCCTAAGGATTATCCTAAGGAATAGGAACGAAGTCCATCGCTACCAGGGTTTATATAATAGGTACTAAGTCCATAACTACCGATGTTAGGCACAACTGACAATGTTCTTTCATGAGGCACTAAGTCCATAGCTGCCACGGTTTTTAGAATACATCCGGTGAACGCGCAGTTCAAAAGTCAGACACAACTGCCAATATTATCCATTAGGCTCTGCTGCTAGGATATTTAGAGTACATCTGGTGAACACGTCGTTCACAACACCTACAGGTTGCGAGCCTGCTAGTGTTCCACTGGACTGTCTAAAATAGTCTGTGGTTGTCATCTATACTCTGCTAGACGACCGAACCATCCTTTGGTTCAAGGCTTCTCATCATCTTACACCTCTCATTATCTATATCATCTTTCATCTCTTACATTTTTCTCATCGTGGCGCAGCTGCCAATATTCATCTATATCATCTTTCATCCCTCATCGTTATCTATCCATGTTCTACCCAACATATTCGTAGATATAAAATACATATACAGTTTAAACCATTTAAAACATGTATAAATCGTTCATCCAGCATAGATATCAGGAACACAAATAATATGCACACATAGCACGTAATTTATATTAAATACTTCATATCTATGTGCAAGATGAAAGTAACTATGCACTTACTTGTTAAAGTGATGATTCCAAACCCGGGCAGCGCTTCGCTTCTAACGATTCCATTTTCCTTCGACGAAACCTAGTATTATTATCGCTAAGTTTTAGTCTAATCTTTATTGTGACTAATTATTAGTCTAGATTCATCATTAACTCAAAATCTACTTTCATGATCTATCAAGGAACAACCAGGTAGAATAATATGGGAGATAGGGTCCGTTTGGTATACGAAGTATACTGTTTGGAAAACCCACTTGAAACACCTCACTAAATCACAACCTAGACATCATCCCCATAAGTAGATCAATCAGTAAAATGACTTGGAATCACTGATAAATCTTGTTTATAGGTTCATAATAACGATAATGAACTTAAACATAAGTTATACTTAAAGTACGGTAAGCATAACTCAACTTACATGGGGTTTAGCGAGGAACCGGGCTCTGCGGGGGCAGAACTTCCTAGCTGAAAAGCTCTTTTTCTCGGATCCTTTGGGCGCACCGAGGCTTTCCTCTAGCACCTTGAGGTTACTAGGGCTTTGGGAGGGTTTTGGGAGGCTTAGAGAGAAGTTAGAGAGAGAGAGAGAATTGGTTTTTGGTGTGAGAATTGAAGGCACTATCGCATGCTATTTATAGGCTGAATTTTGGACCTACTCGTCGAGTTTTGGCCTCCAATTCATTGAGTTGGTGCCACATGTCACCCTCTGGTGGCAAGGCTTGGGGAGAAAGCAATGGTCCAAATTAAGCCACGTCACCCCTTCCGCAGCAACACCATTCTGAATTCTAAATTCCGTAACTTTCGCATACGAGCTCTGTTTTCGACGTTCTCTATATCCATGCGTAGGTGGAGATGTACTCTACAACTTTCGTTTAGACTCTGTCGGCTAATTCTCTACCGATTTCAAATTTAATAGTTTGAGAAGATTACACTGTTTAACGACCGTGTAAAATTCATAACTTCTTCATACGGACTCCGTTTTCGACTGTCTTTTTTATCGTTGAACTCCTAGTAATGAGATCTTCAATGCTCATTTAGGTTGTGTCGGCTAAAAAAAGATCGATCTAAAATTCGAATTCCGGGTTGTGCACTACTATGCTAAATCTTAGAAAAATCATAACTTCCTCATACGAAGTCAGATTTGGATGTTTTTTTTATGCACGTTCTCGGTTTAACGTATACTAAGACTTTAGTTTAGATATATAAGGCTAAAAAGTAATTTATCAAAAATTCACTTTTTACATTACGCAGTGTCGTGCCGGTTTTGCCGTAAAACTTCGACGTGTCATAACTTCTTTGTTATAACTCGGATTTCGGCGTTCTTTATATGTATGGAACCCTTGTGACATATACTATAACATGGCTAAGATTATTCCTTATTAATGATCTCCCATAAAAAAGTTATTTTTGATGCTCATTGTCTCTAAATTGACTAGCCCGAATATGCGGGCGTTAAACACAAGTCGGGGGAGTTAGGAAGGAGAACTGGGAAACAAGAGAGGATCAGGGGAGAGATCGACAGATTTGTCACCGATAGTCGGGGTTTGTTGACCCGGTGCGGTCGGGTTTGGGTTCCAAATTCTAGTGGGATCAGGCAGATAGTGCTAGAGGAGGCTCATAATTCTCACTTTTCTATACACCCGAGAGCCACCAAGATGTATCGAAATTTGAGATTGAGTTACTTGTGGCCGTGTATGAAGAGGGAGATAGCCTGGTACGTTGAGAGGTGCTTGACCTGTAGGATGGTCAAGGTCGAGCATCAGAGGCCGCATGGAAAGTTGCAGCCTTTAGAGGTTCCCATGTGGAAGTGGGAACAAATCACCATGGATTTCATCACCAAGTTGCCGAAGACTGCCAAGGGTTTCGATGCTATGTGGGTCATCGTGGATCGATTGACCAAGAGTGCCCACTTTTTGACCATCGGGAGAGCTCTTCGGCCGAAAAGTTGGCCGATGTGTATGTCTGGGATATTGTTGTTCATCATGGGGTTTCGATCTCCATTTTTTCAGACCAAGATGTTCAGTTCACTTCCCGCTTATGGCAGAAGTTCCACGAGGAACTGGGAAGGAGGCTACATTTCAGCACAACTTATTACCCCCAGACCGAAGGTAGAGTGAGTGGACCATCCAGATACTTGAGGATATGTTACGGGCTTGTGTCATAGATTTTGGTGGGAGTTAGGATTACTACCTACCTCTTGCGGAGTTATCCTACAACAACAACTATCACTCCAACATTGGTGCCCAACCTTTTGTGCTCCTGTATGGTCGGAGATGTCGTACCCCGGTATGCTGGGAGAGGTTGGTCACAGGGTCATGAGAAGGACCGAAGTAGTCCTTCGGACCATGGACCTTATTCAACAGATCAGACAGAGAATGTAGACAACTCAGAGTCGGCAGAAAAGCTATGCCGACCGGCGCCGATCGGAGTTGGAATTTTAGGTCGGTGATATGGTATAACCGAAGGTCTCACCCTGGAAGGGTGTGATACGCTTCAAGAAGAGGGGGAAATTGGTTCCCCGGTATATTGGACCGTTCCGTGTAATAGCCAGGGTAGGCAGGGTGGCCTACTAGTTGGATTTGTCAAGTGAGCTCAATCAGATCCACAACACTTTCCATGTCT